TATTGGTGGTTCCCTAGCCTGAATATCAATTGAATATCAATTTACTAGACTTCATGTTTGGAATTAATTATTTTTTCCACACACAAAATTAATGATTCAATGGTTTTATATATGAGTTAATTTTGCCTACAAAGTCACTCCTATTCTGATTCAAACACCTACAAAGTCTTGAAGACTAGAAGCAAGAGTTTATAGCAGAGCAGAACTACTGCTTTTCATGCCTTTGAAGTATGGATCACACAGTAAATTCCTCATGAGGGTCCCAAGAGAGAAATACTTTTTCTAATGTCCGTATCTTGAATTTTTTGTTACCATTATCAATGACTCATGAACTGTTTCGGGGTTTTATAGCCAAAAATCAGAAACATAGATAATTATTTATTTTTCAGGAGAAAATATAACTAGATATTTGACAGTCGTACTCAAGGGTGAGGTATGATATCACTTTTCATCCCATGGGTCTGCTGTGGACCATGTGGAAGAAGAGAGTACCTGAGGAAAGACGTGGAAGATGCAAGCTGCTGCAGAATGTAGGAGTACTGAACAGTGTTTTGTTTCTTCTTTTCAGTCAGCAATTTTTTCCGGTGAGAATGAAAGAACTGAGGATGATTGACTCTTTTGCGGGAACCTCTCATCCAGTTCTGAAGCACAGTCACACCAATGCCTTAAATGATACAAAAAGCACCTCTTGTCTTGTGCTCACTTATAGCATTGCACCAACATTTACATGGTTTTCATCTGTCAGTTCAAGTAACATACAGCTTTTCTGATAATGCTAACTAAAATACTTTTTATGAAATCTGAATAACTTTAAGAACCATTTTTTCACGACTAGCAGCAGATTTTTCAGCTCACAGCTCTTTTTCCCCCAGCACTTGCTGTACTCTAAGATCTGTTCAAATCCATTTTCAGTTACATCACTGCTGTTGATGATGATAAATGCTCAGAGAGTCCAGGAAAGTTTGTGTGTTTTGTCCACTTTGATTTATTCTACCTAATTTAGGCTCTTGATATGCCTAATTTGTAGCTTAGATTTTCTGTGGTCAACAGAAAGAATATCTAGACAATAAATTTAGCAAAAAGGACACGCAATTAGATCAGATCAATTTATAGCAAAGATTTCACACCCTACAAACCAACCTGGAAAAACCAATAATATTATTTAAGATACTTTTTAACCTAAAACTTCAAGGAAGTGGTCTGTCATTATAGACAGAAATAAATTTTAACATGAAGACTTACTTTTAACCATCGCTTAACCCATGATCACGGCAAAGGAGTTTCCATGTTCCTATATCTCCTCTATTCAGTTAGTTATTTGCTTTCTCCTTAGCTCAAAGTGATGGATTTCTGGGAATCAGGTATCAAAGTTTGCTATTCTTTGGCTAAAGAAAAGACAATAGAAAGTCCAGCAATAATATAAAACCTCTCAAACAAGAACACATTAATCACACCAAATTCTTTCTTTCCCCCTTTTTCATTCATTTTTCAAATATGGGCTACTCTTGTGATTTATGCTTTATGCTATCATCAATATCCAAATTTATAATTAATGAAAGCCTGCTCTGTTTTATAAATCCCTTCTGAGAAATATAAATTAATGTTACAAAAAATAATAGGATTTTAAGGAGAAGTAATGAACACATGGAAGTATAAATAAACAAACAAACCTTTGTTTTAAGATATATGTCCAGCACTTTTAAACATCAACAGTTCATTTCAGTTCAAATCAATGTAAATTCCTGCACCATCTGCCCTACTCAATGATCACTGAATTTTTTTTTATTTTTTTTTTATAACCAGTAATCCTTTTTTGTTGTTGTTCTTTTGGTCATCAACAAAGGAATGCACACATTACCAAAAAATAAAAAAAGAAATTTTTATATCAAAGCCCATACTCATCTGGCAATACTTTAAGGAGAATTTTAAAATCAGGGAACAAACATTTTAAGCGCTCTGAAGTACAGAGGAAACTGCCATAGAAGCATTGCCTAATTGCATTTCATGTTTTTGGTTCTTAATTCAGTATATTTATTCTCCCAAGAATATTCTTTTGTCAAGGGGGAACACCTTTGCCATGTGGTGCTGCAGAACTGATAGGGTTATTTTTGCAGATTTAACACGTACAAAATACAATTAGTATCCGAACTGATAATGCCATATAAGCAGTGATGCAGAGCAAATCCAAACACATGAAAAATATCAAATAGGACAAGCTGTGCTCCTGTCTTTCTTGCACCAGATTGCTATACCTATGTAGTCCTCACACCAGTGTTTTGAAAATGAGGTTTTCACAACTTCTTCATGCTAAAAAAAGAAGTTTCAGTGCAAAAGCTGGGGGCTATCTACTCTCTTGAACTTTACATTAACATGAGACATAGTGTGTCCTGGGAAAAACTACTGAGACCTCTTGAGCTACTTACAGTTTTGCTCCCATCTGTCTAGAACAAGAATTTCACTACTTCAGTTGCATTTCCACATCTGCTACTGTCCCCCTATGTAAGCTTGATCAAGTCACTTTTCCTTTCTGATGATTTTCATGTTGGATCCTGCACTATCTGGTTAATAGCATCTTCCAGGACATGGGGTCTCTCTCACTACCTGTTCATGCAGTCCTTAATACTGTGTAGTTCTCATCACCGTAGGGTCAAGTTTGGAAAGATGCATCACAAAGGAAATTAGAGGAATCTGATTGCCCAAGAGACAATAAGCATTGGAGGTTCAATACTAGTGTGTGAATAAATGGTTGTTGATTCTTTTCTTCTTTTCAAGAAAGATGTGACAAGGTGTTATTTCAGGTATCAATAGATTTGGTCAAGCATTCAGATAGCAAAATACCTAAGTTAATCACACTTATTTCAGCAAATGGTGACTGCAGCTAGTATTGTAGACTGACACATAATTAATCTAAGAATTGAAGCAACAGCATTTTAATATGAGATAATGCAGGCACACACACACGTGCACGCACAAAAAGACGTTTACTTGAATTTTTACAATTGAAAGAATGGACTTTGAGATGGTCCTCAATCAAAGCTAACAGAGCCACTTTGCTCAAGTGAAAACAGGACCTCAAATGTACATTTTTGCAACCAGATATTTTTAGGGTTTTTTTTATGGTACTCCTGGTGCAATTATAAAAGGTCAGCATTGTACTCATTGGCCTTATTTTCCTATGAGCCCCTTGTTTTTTTCAGTTCTCCATTTTCTGGGATACATTCAAAAAAGTGCTGTATTGTCTGTAGCCTTTTTCTCAAAGGACAAATTATCCAGATATAATATGAATAACCTACTAAGAAATAACCAACTTCACATAAAAGGTCAAAACATGCAATAAATGCAAGTAGGTCTCGGTATAAATAACAGTAAGCTGAATATAGATCTTTGAAAAGCACATTAGTAACATCTCCTGTTAGGGAAAGCAAGGCCCCATGAGAATTACCTTACTTGTGTAGGTCACCTATATACATTAAAAAGAAACAATACTGCTTTTCTCATTATGCCCTGCAAATACTTGGTCCCCAAGGAAAGAGACTGTCAAAATTCCCAGCTCTGCATTATAACCTCTTTGAGATTATGATAAACTTAGCGCATATATCAGAAATAAGAATTAAGAACCACCAAAGATAATTTAGGAAATTTATGTCTGAAAAGGAAGGGCTCAAACATACTATTAGAATTTCATTTACCAGAAATCTGTTCATATCCAAGAACTAAAAATGAATCCATTTCTTCATTTTCTTCAGATAAGATTTTTCTGACAGTGGAAAGATTTCCTTCATTGTTTTGTCATTGCCTATTCATTGCACTGATAAGAAATCTTGTGGCTCTGAGCTGCACTGGGAAGGGCATGTTGCTCACATCACTTTTTAACTGATGTGGCCAGAGTTTTCCAGAATAAAAGTAGATATTCTGGTGACCTATCAGAGGATAAGCTTCCCTTGAACATTCTCCTTCAGTGATGAGCTCTCCCTGCCCAAGTTCACTCTCTGTAAAGGTGCTCTTCTGCTCTTCTGCCCTTTAAAGGGCCTGATGATCAGAAAAAGGCATAAACGGTAAAAAGACTCTCCACAAGATAACAAGTACAAACATCTGGAAGCATGAGCTTGCTAGGTGCCTATATTAAACCTTCATTTGGTTGCTTGTTGTCAGGTTGGATACTGGAAGGACATGGAGAAGGAAGAAGCAGCAGAAAAGGTCAAAACGGAGGGAAATGAGTCATCCATCCTCCTGACAGGATTAGAAGGAAACACGTTATATCACCTAACAGTGAGGGCGTACAATGCTGCAGGGTATGGACCACCTAGCACTGCTGTGCATGCAACAACCAAGAAATCCCGTGAGTAATCTCAGTATCTTTGCTACAAGGGAGAAGTCAGAGAGCAACCTCTACCCTCTTGTATTTTCACTTAATATGAGTGTATAATAATCAGGAATCATGTATAGATTTGATTCATGGCTTTGCTTTGATATTTAGACATGAATTCATATGACTTTGCATTCAAAACAAGAGTTATTTTCCTAGGAAAAAAAAAAAAAAGGATTTTTTACAAAGAAGGAAGAGAAAAGATTTCAGGTTCATAGGTTTTGTGGAATTTATGGCATGGGATGGGATGGGATGGGATGAATAAATACATAATAATTTATTAAATTACAATACTAGTGAAAAAAAAAATCTTAGAAATTTGATCCAGAGTTGTTGGAGCCTGCTAACATAACTAGTTTTAAATGTAATAAAAGACTTAAATACTTTTATTTTG